GGGAAAGGTTTTTGGGGATATGGACCAAATGTGGGTAATTGGAACTAGCTGAGGGGCACCATGGTCAGCCTGGACCAATTTGGGCTGAAGGGCCTGTTTCCTTGCTGTATTACTGTATGACTCTTACAGCAAGGGCAGTTAGTTAACAACTACTCCTTCTCTCTGATATTATCTATCAATCCGGAAAAACAATAGTTATCAAGCCCCACTTTGAAAGCCTAATACAAACCTCTAGTATAGGCAAGTTCTGCCATTATTCCAGAACTGGCTCGACCTCTTGGGTAGATAAAGTGGTTAAGGAGACATATGGGATGCTTGCCTTTACTGGCCAAGGCATAAGGTTTAAGAGCAGGGAGGTTATGTTGGAACTGTGTAAAGAAGTTGCTTCAGCCACAGCTAGAGTACCGTGTGCAGTTCTGGAATCCAGTAACAGGAGGGATGTCATTACACTGCAGAGAATGCACAGAAGATTTACCAGAATGTTGCATGGACTGAAGATTTGTAGTTATGAAGAGAGATTGGATAAATCAGGATTGTTTTCTTTGGAGTAGAGGAGATTGAGGGGGAACATGATTGCGATGTATAAAACTATAAGGGGCATAGACAGGGTAGATAGGAAGGAACATATCATCTTAGTGAAGGGATAAATGATCAGGAGGCATAGATTTAAGTAAGAGACAGGAGGTTTAGAGGGAACATTTCTTCACTTAGAGAATGGTAGGAATCTGGAACTTACCACCTATAAGAGGCAGAAACCTTAAAACATTTCTGAAGTATTTAATTGTGTACTCCTGCACATACAAGTCTATGGGCCAAGTGCTGGAAAATGGGATTAGAAGAGCTAGGTGGTGGTTGTTTGACTGGTGCAGACTCAAATTGGCCAAAGGGTCTCTTTCTGGGCTGTAGACCTTTATGCTTACCTATAACTCTTAACTTAATCAGTTCAACTAGTTACACCTGCTGTTCATGATTTTTTTGTGGATGTTTTGTTTTTTAACTTTTATATCTGCAAGTTATTTTTGCATGAAAACACCGTCACTTCCCCTGCCCAACGACCCACCCACAACCATCAACATTGATCTCTTGATCCTATTGCCACTGAACTATTGAACACACAGTTTCCCTTCCTGGCTTCTGCATTAGCTGACATTGTTAACAGTTCTCTCTTGTTAAATTTTCTCCTTCTTGTCTTCTAAACTACCAGCGTCACACCTCTCATCAATAAAACCAACACCACCAGTCCTTCCACTATAACTCCGCTCTTTCCTCTCCAATGTCCTTTAACCATAAGGCAATAAGACATAGGAGCAGATATTAGGCCATTCAGCCCATTGAGTCTACTCTGCCATTCAATCATGGCTGATAAGTTTCTCAACCCCAATCTCCTGCTTTCTCCCCTTGACAATCAAGAACTTGTCTATGTCCATCTTAAATATACTCAATGACCTGGCCTCCACAGCCTTCTGTGGCAGTGAATTCCATGGATTCACCACTCTCTGGCTAAGGAAGTTTCTCCTTATCTCTGTTCTAAAAGATCTTCCCTTTACTCTAAGGCTGTGCCCTCGGGTCCTAGTCTCTCCTACCAATAGAAACATCTTCTCAACATCCACTCTCTCCAGGCCATTCAGCATTCTGTAATGAAGTAGATCCCCCCTCGTCCTGCTAAATTCCATCACATATAGACCCAGAGTCCTCACACGTTCCTCATATGTTAAACTTTTCATTCCAGGGACCATTCTTGTGAACCTCCTCTGAACCCTCTCCAGGGCCAGTACATCTTTCCTGAGATATGGGGCCCAAAACTGCACACAATACTCCAAATGTGGCCTGACCAGAGCCTCAGAAGTACATCACTGCTTTTATATTCAAGTCCTCTCAAAATAAATGCCAAAGTTGCATTTGCCTTCCTAACTACTGACTCAACCTACAAGTTTACCTTGAGAGAATTCTGGACGAGAACTCCAAAGTCTCTTTCAACTTCAGACTTCTAAATTTTCTCCCCATTTAAAATTGTCCATACCTCTATTCTTCTTACCAAAGTGCATAACCTCACACTTTCCCATGTTGTACTCCATCTGCCACTTCTTTGCCCATTCTCCTAACATGTCCAAATCCTTCCGCAGCCTCCCCGCATCTTCAGTACTACCTGTCCCTTTACCTACCTTTGTATTGTCTGAAAATTTATCTGGAATGCCCTCAGTTCCTTCATCTAGGTCATTAATGTATAAAGTGAAAAGTTGTGGTCCCAACACTGACCCTTGTGGAACACCACATGTCACCGGCTATCATCCTGAGAAAGACCCTTTTATGCCCACTCTCTGCTTTCTGCCAGACAGACAATCTTCTATCCATACTCGTACCTTGCCTCTAACATCATGGGCCCTTATCTTACTCAGCAGCCTTCTGTGCGGCACTTATCAAAGGCGTTCTTGAAGTCCAGGTGAATAACATCTATTGGCTCTCCTTGATCTTATCTGCTCGTTATTTCCTCAAAGAATTCTAACAGATTTGTCAAACCTGACCTCCCCTTGATGAAGCCGTGCTGACTTTGCCCTACTTTACCAAGCACTTCCAAGTATTCAGAAATCTCATCTTTCACAATGGACTCTAAAATCTTACCCACGACCGAGGTTAGGCTAATTGGCCTGTACCCTTTAGTCTTTTGCCTTACTCCCTTTTTAAACAGGGGTGGCACATTAGCGATTTTCCAATCTTCTGGGACCCTCCCTGACTGTAGCGATTCCTGAAAGATCACCACTAATGCCTCCATTATCTCTTCATCTATCTCCTTAAGAACTTTGGTGGTGTAGTCCATCTGGTCCTACCTATTTATCCATCTTCAGGATATTCAGTTTTTCTAGCACCTTCTTCTTGGTGATGGCCACCATACTCAGCTCTGTCCCCTGACTCTCTCAAATTTTTGAGATATTACTCCTGCCTTTCACTGTGAAGACTGACGTGAAGTAATTATTCAGTTCCTCAGCCATTTCCTTGTTCCCCACTACTATCTCTCCACCATCATTTTCCAGTGGTCCAATGTCCAGTTTTGCCTCTTTTTTGCCCTTTATATATCTAAAGAAACACTTACTGTCCTCCTTTATATTACTGGCTAGCTTACCCACATATTTAATTTTCTTCCTCCTTATTTCTTTTTTTGTTGCACTCTGTTGGTCTTTGCAAGCTTCCCAATCTTTTGGTTTCCCACTGCCCTTCGCCACATTATATGCTTTCTCTTTTGCTTTTATGTTATCCCTGACTTCCCTAGTCAGCCATAGTTGCCTCATCATCCGTGTACCATGCTTCTTTTTCCTAGGGATGAATTTTTGCTGTATCTCCTGAATTACTCCTGGAAACTCCTGCCATTGCTGTTCCACTGTCTTTCCTGCTAGGCTCTTCTCCCAGTCAATTCTGCCTGGCTCCTCCCTCATGCCTCTGTAGTTGCCTTTATTCAGCTGTAATACCATTACCTCTGATTCTATCTTCTCTCTCTTAAATTGCGGAGTAAATTCAATCATATTATGATCACTGCCTCCTAAGGGTTCCTTTACCTTAAGCTCCCTTATCAAGTCTGCCTCTTTGCACAACACTAAATCCAGAATTGCCCGTTCCTTAGTGGGCTCCACCACGAGCTGCTCCAAAAAGCCGTCTTGTAGACATTCCATAAATTCCTTTTCTTGCAATCCACTACCAACCTGATTTTTCCAGTCCACCTGCATATTGAAATCCCCCATGATCACCGTAACTTTGCCCTTCTTAAACATCTTTTCTAACTCCTGGTGTATCTTGCGCCCCAGCTCCTGACTGCTGTTTGGAGGCCTGGACATAATTCCAACTGTGGTTTTTTTTAACTTTGCAGTTCCTCAACTCTACCCACACAGATTCTACACCATCTGACCCTACTTCATTTCTTACTATTGATTTAATTTCATTCCTTACTAATAAGACAACTACACACTCTCTGCCCACCTGCATATCTTTTTGATAAGACGTATATCCTTGGATATTCAGCTCCCAATCCTGATCCCCTTGCAGCCATGATTCTGTGATGCCCACCACGTCATATCTGCCAATTTCGATCTGTGCCACAAGCTCATTTACCTTCTTTCTTATACTGCGTGCATTCAGATGGAACACCTTCAGTATTAACCGTCCCACTTCTCATTGTCACTCGTTTACCCAGCATGCTTGAAGTTTGATTCCTAACCCTTTCCAAATACTGTTCGATTTAACATTCTATTGCCTCCCAAACTTAAGCCTATCTTTTGTGGAACTCCATGTCTGAATGCCTCCAGTTTGGTTTCTGCCCCTGCCACAGTACCAAAGGTCTTAAAGTCATAAAGTAGCAAAATCATAAATGACATTCTATGCTCCTTGACACTAGGCGGGCTGCGCTCACCCGATTCCCTTCTTTTCTCCTTAACTATAGTCAGAAAATTGTCATCAAGGGGTTCTCTTCCTATCCTGCAGTCACCTATGGTATTCCCAAAGATCTATCCTTCAGCCCCTCTTTATTCCTCATCCATATGTTTTCTACAAAAGCATTAGTTACCACAGATGTTGCCCTAAACATCTGCACCGTTGACCTGGATTACTTCTATTAAGACGATTCTAAAACCTTGCTCTTTGGCCAAATTTTTGAACATCTGTCCTAACACTTCTGATGCAACTTGAAGTCATTTTGTTCCATAACAACTCCGCTCAGTGCCTGGGGATGTTTTATTATAGCAAAGCTATATAAGTATTTGTAATAACAAGGAAGTGTTTAACACTTATAAGACAGTGTGGAGCTGGAGGAACACAGCAGGCCAGGTAGCATCAGAGGAGCAGGAAAGCTGATGCTACCTGGCCTGCTTTATTCCTCCACCGCCACATTGTGTTATCTCTGACTCCAGCATCGGCAGTCCTTACTATCTCCGAGTGTTTAACACTTATCGCTTTTATAAAATGCTAATAAGTCAAAATATAAATCCTTTAGAAAAATTACATTAACAGTGCAATGCTTTGAAATTTTTTTTGGTTTGAAATCTTTAATTTATGCAGAAACAGAAGAGTTTTTTGGGGGAAGGGGAGAAATCCGTTGGGAGATAGGATGTCTCTTGTTGGAAAGGGTTTCAATGACCTGTGGAATGGTCACCGGATCCGAAACGTTAACTCTGATTTTTTTCTTCACAAATGCTGCCAGACCTGCTCAGCTTTTCCAGCAACTTTTGTTTTTGTTCCGGATTTACAGCATCCGCAGTTCTGTCGGTTTGTTTCAATGACCTTCTTGTTCTAGACTACTTTTCGAAAGTGAGTCACCGCCCACCGCAAAAGTAAACGTTTTGCTGGTCTAAATTTTCTGGGAAGGGGTAAGAATAGCAAACGAAATCGTTTCATTAAAAAAAAATTAGCGAAATAAAGTCAAATTTAAAACGACGGTCCAATCAGATATGTTAAAGTCAATATCCTGAAAGCGTTTTTACTTTTTTTCTGTGTATGCACTTGCTATAAATGATAAGGAGCTGACCCTTTCACACTTCCACAATGCAGTCCTTTCTATTGTGCTTAAGTGCTGGCGCCAGCCGCGACGTGTGGGAGGGGAGCACTGGCAACTTGTAGGAACTCAGCCTTACCAGCGGGTGGCATTGTTTCAGCGAGCGCGTGCATAACCAGGCTTTCAACGTCGTGTTGTTGTCCAGCTCAAATTGAGGCAGGCAGATAGCGAGAGAGCTAAGGGAGCAAGGACGCCTAGGACCCCGGAGCAAAGCCCGAGCTTTGATGCTCGAGTTGCAAAACTGACGCTTCCTCGGCTCACAGTGCGCCTTCTGGAACCTTCCACCCTAGCCGATGGGGGCGATGGTGGTACGGCAAATGTAGTGAAAAGGGAAGGAGGAAGCAAGAAGATGGCGGGAGGGTTGCCGAAGCAGCGGAATGCAGGTGAGCGACAGTATTGATCGAACGGGTCTACTATCCCATGTCGAAGTGAAGGAGAAGGAGTCACGTCCGCCATCCGCTCGCCGCGGAGTGCGCGAGGTGCGGGGCGGGGGGTGTTGGCGCTGGCGCATGCCCGGTGGCGTCGGCGCCGCTCCTCGGCCGATTGTGTTCGAGCGATTTAAAAAGGAGCTCGAGAGAGGCTGCGGAACGGGCTGTGCGCTGTAGCGGGAGATTGGTTTACAAACCTAAATTTAAAAAAAAATACCCGGTGCTGTAATACCCTCAGAGAAAGGAAGGTAGCGAGTGACCGTTAAACTTCAATTAACTTTGGATCGGTATAAAATAAGATACTTGGTGTTGTTGCATGGAAGACATTTGAGATCGCCTTCCAGGTGAGGTGATAAACCATAGCTCACCAACGCCCGCCCGCCAGCCACAGTATTTCATGTTTTTTTCCCTACCCTGTTCCTTTGCGGGTTCTTTTTAAATGGTGAATTGTTATGTTTTATTTTGTTGCTCTGGAGTATGTCTTCTCCAGTCCGAATTGGTAGTCGAATTGTGAACAATTTGTGTCTGTCAGGGTGGGCGAGGCAGCCTTATTGTGAGGCGGGGAGGTGCGGGGTTTTATTCAGGCTGTTGGCCATCTCTCTCAGAAACGTTGAACCGAGTGACCTTTATTTATTACTAATTTAAAAATAACAAAAGGAGCTCTCCCTGCTCAAGTGTTGAATTACCATGAGTGTTTGCACTAGCTGGATCGTGAGGAAAAAGAGCTCTCCAAGGTTACTCGGTCCAAAGAAATTTTCATTTTTGTATTAAGCGAAATACCGATTCCCTGAAATATTAGGTGTCTGCAGCGCAAGTTGTTGAAAGCGTGCAAGGTAGCTTGATTAAAAAGGAAGAGTATTGGCTTTGAATTTTGTGACAAGCCTGGAATCGGATTTAAATGTTTATCCGAATCCCACGATTGTGTGTTTGGGTCTGTGAATATAATTAAGTTGTGAAACGTTTACGTGCAAAATTCAGATATGGCTCAAGTTGAAGGAACAAAAGCATTCTGTCTGCTAACTGTATGGTCCGAATGTGAGAAATTTTTCTTGTCTCAACCCAGTTAATAAAACCACTCGCTGAAGCTGGCTCTGAGTTGGTAGCCATTGATGTAGCTGGTGTGAAAAATAGAAATGCTAACATAACATCAGTGGAAAGATTTTTGAGTTCCTCCTTAGCTCATCTTCCACCTCCCATGTACCTGAACTTGTACAAACATTGCTCATGTCCCAGTTTACACCAAGCCTTATGCATGTTTTGCTGTCCTGATGGCTGATCTATGTTTGCTCCCTGGTCCACCAGTGCAGCAAATTAAAAATTCATTTCTGGTCTGTGGTTGTTTCCCTATCTCTAATATCTTTCAGCCCTGCAAGAACTTTCCCTTTGTCTGATTATGCTGAAGTGATGTGCCATGTGACACTTAGTACATTAAACAACTTCATGAATGTGAACAAAAAGTGTTGGTGAAACTGACAACATCTGTGGAAAGAGAAACTGAATGAATGTTTGATATAACAAGGTGTAGAGCTGGATGAACACAGC